TGCGCGCGCGCGGCGAGTGGCTCTACCGGCTCGCCCCGATGCGGCTGCCGCAACCCGGCGAGGCGCTCTCCGCGGGCCAGGCGGCGACGTTCCCCGCGCTGCGCCTCTTCGTCGAACGCGCGAAGGCCGCGGCGCCCGGCTTCGCGCTGACGGACGCCGACGTGCCGCAGCTCGTGGCCCTGTGCACAAGGCTGGACGGCATCCCGCTGGCCATCGAGATCGTTGCCGCGCGGGTCGACTCACTGGGCATCGCCGGCTTGTCGGACCAGCTTGAGAGCCTGCTGCTGCACCTGCCAGTGCGGCGTCGCCATGCGCCCGCCCGGCACAGCACCCTGGCGGCCCTGCTGGAATGGAGCTACCGCCTGCTGTCGCCCGTGGAGCAGACGGTGCTGCGGCGGCTGTCGGTGTTCCGCAGCGGCTTCAGCGCGGAGGTGGCCGAGCAGGTCGTCGGCGATGCCGAGATCGGCGACGACGATGTCCAGGAGACGCTGCTGGATCTGATGGCCAAGTCGCTGGTCGCGCCCGGCCGCGGCGGCGATCCTGCCCTGCGACGGCTGCTAGACACCACCCGCAGCTACGCCGGCCACAAGCTGGACGAAGCCGGTGAGCGTCAGGCGGTGAGCCTGCGCCATGCGCGCTGGCTGGCCGGCGTGCTGGCCGAGGCCGAGAGCGCCTGGAACTTGATGACCCGGCAGCAGTGGATGACGCGCTACTCGCCGCTGATCGACGACATCCGCGCTGCGCTCGACTGGGCCTTCACGCCCGACGGCGACGTCGCACTGGGCATGGACCTGACGATTGCCGGCTTCGCGATCGGGCGCCAGATGCTGCTGGTCGACGAGTTCACCGATCGCGTGAAGCGGGCCATCGATGCCATCACGGCCCACGGCGATGGCCCGGGGCCTGCGCTCGACCCGGCCGACGCCGATGCACGGCGCAAGCGGTTGACCTTCCTCATCGCCTGCCTCGGCCTGGCCAGCGACGCGGCCCTGACCCCGACGCTCGAGACCGCGGCCACCTCGCTGACCGGCGCGGACCAGTTGCTGCAGCGCTTCGCCGGCTGCAACGGCATGTGGGCGACGGCCGTGTTCCGTGGTGACTTCAAGGACGGCGGCGCCTGGGCGGACCGCATGGAGCAGCTCGCGGACGCCATCGGCGACCCGGTGGCCCGGCTCGTGTCGGGCCGCATCCAGGCGCAGACGCTGCACTTCGCCGGCCGCCACAGCCTGGCCGCCGAGAAGGCGCGCGGTGTGCTCGGCGAGTCGTGGCGCACCATTCCGCTGAGCTACAACCCGTCGCCCGTCGAGCTGCGCGTGTCCATGCGCGTGATGCTCGCGCGGACGCTGTGGATGCAGGGCCGCCCCGACAGCGCCGCGGCGATGGCCGAGGAGGCCATCGAGCAGGCGCTGACCGATTCGCCGCTGGCGCACTGCCAGGTCATCGTGATGGGTTCGCTCGTCATCGCCATGTGGAGCGGCCTGGCCGCACCGGCAAGGGAGCTGGCCGGCCAGCTCGTCGACCTTGAAAAGCTGCTGGGGTTTTCTCACTGGCTGCGCTGGAGCCGGGGCCTTCGCGCCATGGTGGCACTGCGCGAAGGCGGCGACGTGCCGGCGATCGCGGACGCCAGCTGGTTCGAGGAACCCGAGCCGGTGCTGGCCGACCACCTCGCCACGCTCGACGACCGCTGGCTCACACCGCGCTGCATCCAGCGCGTCGAGTCGGGCATGGTGGGCTGGTGTGCCGCCGAAGCGTTGCGCCTGCAGGGGGAGCGCGCCTTGCGCGAAGGCTCGGCCGAC